GTTCGGCTTAAGTTCAGATTCATAGAGGTCTTCGGAAATACTACTGGTAGAGTACCAATCCATTATTAATTTTATGCTGCTCTATTCTCCTGGAGCAGCCTAAGGAGAACCGAATCAGCCTAGACTACTTCATGTGTCTATCCCTTTGACATTAAGTTCTACCGGCTGACCAGTTCTGTGTTATGTACTTTCACATAGAATCCTGCTGCACTACATCTTTCCCGGAACATTTGCAAACACAGTTTTGCTTGGAGACGGGGGGGGGAGTGGTGGGCAGTTTGCACTTCCGCTACTTTCCATCGTCGTGTCAAGCCAGTAGAGACTTGTGAAATCTTGTAAATTCATGAACTGTACCAGTCAAAGTATTTAGAGAGTACTTGTCAACTCTTGTAAAGAATACCCCTCAACTCTTGTAAAGCAATGACAACGACTACGGGAGTAGCGAATGTGCAAAATGCCCGCCATGCTAAACTGCTCCCATTCCCACCCCAGAATGTGTTATTTTTAGAATGTTTAGGGATGAGTATTGCTTCTTAATATGTTTGGGAATGAGTCGTCCAGCCGTAGTTCATGTCCACGTGGCCACGCCCCTTTCGAGAGCTACAGTGTGCTTTCACTCAGCCGTTGCCCCCCGTCTCCGCCCATCTGCGTCGTGCCTTTTTGTGGTCGTTGACTAAGCCTCTTCCTCACTTGCATATGCTCGAAGATCATTGATTACATTTCTATAACTCTTTTTAGAAAGTGTTTTTTCGAACCTGTGGAATTCCTTTTAGTTTTGCGCTATAATTGACCTATCTTAGGTTCTGACACAATTCTCGTCCACTAAACAGTCATAAGAGATACTAATCAAATATTGATCAATTGCTGACATTACCTGTCATTGGCGATAATGAGGTACTCGATTCGCTTTGCAACACTATTGCTGATGTATATGGCCCTACTGGAAACGAAATTCCTTCCAGGTTTGTTCTTGACATTGACAGTATCCTGGGGATCATGGCGTGAACTTTGGCGTATTGCCAATCAACACAGTGAATCGATTAGCGCCTTCGCCAAGCATTTTTTTGTATGCTTCGCCAACTTTAGAGTGCTGCGGAGGTTCCTTCGCAATATTTTCCATTCCGCAAGGGCCATCTAGAAAGGCAGAACTTTTACATTACTCACAATACAATTACTTACTTACAATTAGCAGTGAAGGTTTTACATAACTGTTTCAGTGATAATTTAGAGACCTATCCAAAAGGGTTTTATCTTTCAAGAATCAGCATACGGCTGATATATGTATTCTAGGCAGAATCCTAATCGCTTCGAGTTTATGAGGCTCAAGGTCAGGAAGGGCCAAGAAACGTTTGTCTTCTGGGTTGTTTGGCGCTGAGAGTTTCAATTCTTATATAATGAACATGTTTATGGTATTTTTTAGTGGAACCCTCACATTTAGTCTCGAATAGCTCTACCCGTTTTCGGCATCGTGTGTCTATTATATTATTTCTGGAAAGGCTTTATTCGCTAATAGTCCCCTCGAGCTAGGGTAGTTCAAAATATTGGGCAGATTTCTTAAGTCTAGCAAATATGCAGGACCATCTTGGTGTGCAGGCTTTGCAGATCCGCAGAGAGTTATGAGTGCTTCATTCTCTGAATGTTGACTTTTCCTTCATGTTGGATAGTAATTGCATTCGCTTAATGCCAGTTGCGAGACGATTTCGAGCCACGATCCAAATACAGAGCTAAAGCGAAGGCCTCCACGGTGGTTGGAACCGATCCATCTGAGCGAAAATGCGGCTGTTTACCCTTTTCGTAAAAATGGTTCACAGTCTACCTCAAAGCCATCACGCGCTTGCAACATGGCCCTGCATATTGGACTAGCACATTGAAATTGTCCTAAATAAACAGCGAGTTCCCAAATGTGGTTGACGTTGTGATTATCGTTGGACATGATCTCCAAGTCTCTTTTTCTGAAAGAATCTGAGCCAACCGAATGCAATCGGGACCTCTGTTCCTTATTGTTTTTTTTTTTTGATATGTTTTTATTTTCACCCATTATTTTCTCGGCGGTAATCTCATATTTCGCTGGCAATGCCCTTACTTTCATGGCACATCATCATTAGGACAATTCTCGGTTCCTCCTGGTTAACAGTATATGAGGTGCAGCAGGAGAGGATGGCTCAGGATCAAGTGTACGTCGATGACCCTTGGACGGGCTCGTATTCGGTCGAAATGGAGAAAATTTGGTCCGATGGAAATCTTTCTAGCTGCCGCTTTTCCATTTCAGACGAAAGCCCTTGCCGGATGAATGTCAGTGGGAGGAGTATATGGAGTGTAATGACGATAACCATGTTCCGCCCGCTGACACTGAGGCTTGACCTGAGTGGCAACTAGTTGTATTGAAGGCACTTTGTTCAGCATGGTGAGCGTCCATGGAAGGATAGTAAGTAGGTCGTGTTCATTCCTGGCTGAATGTCGATTGCCGGTAAAAATTGCTTGTACAGTATCCCCCCCCCGCATCTTGAACAGGAGTCTTTGCTGAGAAATAGATGCTAGTGGAGAATCCCACTTCCGAATAAGTTTTCCGCAATCGTGGTGATAGGCCCTGCTTGTGATTGGCAGGAAAACTTTCGAAGCCTCCTCTGCTTCGCTTCCTGCCACTGAATTTCTTACGAACCTTTTATGCCGCACTTTTCTTATGTACTTTTAATGTACTGTTCACGCTGTTGTGAGCTACATCCTCTTTTTTGTTCGCTGGAAAGAGCCTCAGCTTTCAGTATAAACAAAATGAGCCTGTTTTTCTCCTAATTTCTCTTACTCTAAAATTTCAATTCATATACAACTCTCTACATCCCCTTAGGCAACGCCACGGATGGAATTTGTTTCGTTTCCTTTGAAAAATCTTATTACTGAACAATGGAAATTTAAAATTTTGAAAATCCTGTAGACTAATAGGCGCTTGACTACTCCTCAAAATTATAGCTCATAAAATAAGAATGGACAGTCACTTGGTTAATACCTTGAAAGATTTTGCCGCAAAGTTGTCGCAAAACGGTCATTTAATGGAAAACCCGAAAATGCGTTGGCCCACAGGATCCTTGGGTGTGGATCTCAAGTCAGTTCTTGTAGATTCGTGCCGCAAATTTCGGATCACTGTGGTGATACAAATCCTAGTTTATCATTTCATGGTTCATATTTTTCTCTAAATAAACTGTGATGGATGTCTTGTTCTTTTCAGGACCATGTAATCAGCAGTCCTGTCTGAATGGAGGTACCTGCTATGCGGGCGTGAATTCTAGTCATTGGTGTAGGTGGGTGTGATTTCACAAAATACTTTTGATATATTGTTTTTATGATGTCCCTCATACGTACCTGGCTGTATTGGCTATCATATGCTCCTTTTTATCCCTAGAGTTGGTTTTCATGGCGGTTTCCTTTTTCTCATTGTTTCCAGTAAAGTTCTTCAATGAAATACTTCACGAATTTGCGTGTCATCTTTGCGGCTAAGCCACTTTTTCTACCTCATTTACTAACCAAACACTTCCTTTTGTCAGTCTTCTCTCTAGTAGTGGTATTTCTCTTCAGCAAATGGGCAGTCTAGAGATGTGCAGCTGCTCCAAATGCATGATCTTGCTCGAGAGATCGGAAGCTGGGTAGAGGGATCGGGTGCCTCGTTGAGCATGGGTCAGCCAGGTTCCGATCCCTCTACGTAGCTTTCGTCCCTCTTAATGTCGACTGGTTGGCTGTAGGTGGTG